GGCGGCAGTGAGGGGTCCACGGGGTGGAGGGCAGCGGCTGGGGGAGCCGGGCTGTCAGCCAGGAAGCAGCGGCGGTACCATGACCTCTAGTGGCCTGTCTGCCCCCAGTGGGGCTCCGCCAGCCCCCTGCCCCCCAAGGACAAAGTAGGGGGAGACTCAGAGAAGAGAAGGGTACTGGGGAAGGGGCCAGGCCGAGTCCAGGGCGGGGGTGGTCTGGCCATCCTGTCCCATCTGCCTTCTGCCCCCCTCCTCTGCCCCATCAGAAACCAGCCTTCGTGGGAGGACTCCGGCTGGGAACCAGCCGCTGACAGGGACCTAGGGGCCCTGCCAACTCTCCCTTCCGCTCCCCCCCCCCCACTGCCTGCCCCTCACTGCCCTCTCCAAGGAAACCAAGGATGGGGGCAAGGCTCTTAAAGGGACCGGAACACACACTCGGGCAGGGGCCCCAGGGGAGGGGCCGGCCTGAGTCCCAAACATCCCTGTGTGACAGGGCCGGGGTCTGCAGCACAGACCCGAGGGTGACCCTGGCTTGCCAGGCGGCATTCTCGGCCGGTCTGCTCGGCGGACGAGAGCCTGTGTGAGTCGGCGAAGCACGTCTGAAGAGCCTGGAGTGGGGTCAGGCTTCAAGAGCGTGTGGGACGCCACCCCCTCCGCTGGCCTGTCCCAGCGTCCCCTCTGCTGGCTCAGCTTGCAGAGAGTAAGGGTGCCAAGAGCCACCCAGGGAGGGAAACCCCCAACCCAGGGGCACCTGCCAGAGGCTCCGCAGCCGAGGTGCGTGTGGGTCCCGGAGCGTGGAGCCCTGCCCTTCCCGGGGCCCTCCCGGGGCTGGCCCCAGCACCCCCCAAACACTTGCATTGCAGCAGGGTCACGGGAGGGCGTCCCTGCCCCCAGCCCGCACGCGGGGCCCCAGCCGGCCCACTTGCAAGTCAGCAGAGCGGCCGGTCTCCCAGGATCTTACCAGCTCTGACTTCTGGGCTCTAACTCAGCAGCTGCTGTGAGGGAGACGCCAGGAGTTGGCTTCTCAGGACCACGGGACCGGGGCCCAGGACGGGCTCCAGGCCTTCATCGGCTCTGTCACCCAGCAGTCCATCCTTTCTGCACCCATCCTCCACCCATCCTGCTGAACGGTTGGGAGCTCTGCAGGGACCCCCCTTCCCCTCCCTAACACCCCCGCTCCCCGGGCCTCCCTGCCAGGGCCAGGCTGCTGTAGCGCTGCGGGGGAGGGGCGCCGAGCCATGCTGTCAGCTGGGGTTCCGGAGCGGGTGATCCGGGTCTTTGGCTGGGAGAGGGGATTCGGCCACATAACGCGGGCATCTGGGGCAAGGGGGGCTCCAGGGAGCTGTCAGGGCCCAGTGTGGACAGAGCTGTCAAGTGTGGGTGTCGAGGCTTCGTGGGGAAATGTGTGTGTAACTGGGGGCGAGGCGGGTGGAGGGTCTGTACTGTGGGTGGAAGCCTCTGACTCAGTTTTTCTAAGACGAGCGTGTCACATGGTCAACTGTCGCATGTGTCTAGAAGAGGAGGTGGCCCTGCAAGCATATGACACATGTATAATTATATGTGAACATGCTCAACGGATTCAAGAGAAGACACACAGTCAGAGCTCAGCATGTGACTGGGGTCGGGGCTCAGAGTGTGACCAGGATCAGGGCTCAGAGTGTGACCAGGGTCAGGGCCTCAGCGTGTGACCAGGATCAGGGCTCAGCGTGTGACCAGGATCAGGGCTCAGCGTGTGACCAGGATCAGGGTTCAGAGTGTGACCAGGGTCAGGGCTCAGAGAGTGACCAGAGTCAGGGCTCAGCGTGTGACCAGGATCAGGGCTCAGCGTGTGACCAGGGTCAGGGTTCAGAGTGTGACCAGGGTCAGGGCTCAGAGAGTGACCAGGGTCAGGGCTCAGTGTGTGACCAGGATCAGGGCTCAGAGAGTGACCAGGGTCATGGTCCAGAGTGTGACTGGGGTCAAAGCTCAGACAGTGACCAGGGTAAGGGCTCAGTGTGTGAGCAGGGCCAGGACTCAGCATTTGACCAGCCTCAGGGCTCAGAGTGTGACCAGGATCAGGACCCAGAATATGACCAGGGTTAGGGCTCAGAGAGTGACCAGGGTCTTGTTCCAGAGTGTGACTGGGGTCAGAGCTCAGAGTGTGACCAGGGTAAGGGCTCAGTGTGTGACTAGGGTCTCAGGGCTCAGCACGTGACCAGGGTCAGGACCCAGTGTGTAACCAGGGTCAGGGCTGAGTATTTGATAAAGGTCAGGGCTCAGTGTGTGACCGGGATCAGGGCTCAGCAGGTGACCTGTGTCAAGGCTCCATCTGTGATCAGGACAGGGCTCAGTTCGGGATCATTGTCATGGATGGAAAATCACTATTTCTCAGCAGATGGTCCCTGGTTCCCTCTCCCCCAAGCCCCCACCCATAATCCTGCACACAGGTGACACTCTTTCTCACCCCCTCTGCCCACACAAACACACAGGTCCAGGCCAGCATAGAGTCAGGTCCTGGGTCCCAGGTGGAGCCAACTTGGGGCCCTGTCCCTGGACCCTACGTCAGGTCATCTAGGAAACCCTGGGCTCCTCTAGGCCCATTCATGGGGTGAGGAGCAGCCCCCCCCGGCCATGGAAGAAGCTGTCCAGCGCAGAACAGGGGTGGGAGTGAGGGGCAGAGCCAGCTCCCTCGGCCACAGCACCCCAGCCTCGGACCCTCCCCAGTCCTGAGCGGTCCGCTGAGTCGCAGGCGTCTCGGGGGCGCCGCTTCCTCCGAGGCGGCAGACCCTGCAGCCCGGCTCCCAGGGCCATGCCCAGGACCAAACGGGGAGCTTGTGTGGGAATGCTGCCCGGGGCACGTCTCAAACACAGCACAGCTGCTGGCGCCTTCCTTCTGCCCTCGGGGCCCTGGGCCCACAGGTACAGAAACCCTAACGATCCCACGCATCCACCGGAGGTCACCGCGGGTGGGTGGGGCACGCCGGGACAGTGTGCAGGCCCCCCGCCCCTGAGAGAGTTCACGGCCAGAGCTGAGAAGTGGGGACCTGGCCGCAGGATGGGAAGTGGAGGCCCCCGCAGGGCGGGGTCGGCCACGTGGTCCTCCTGGGCCACACGAGGGCTCTCGGGACGGTGAGCTAGACACGCTGGGCTGGCCAGAGCTGCCCAGGGAGGGCAAAGGGGATGAATCCCACCTCTCTGGAAAGCAATCTGCTTCCAAGAGCTTAACATTGTCCTGGAGACAATCAGAAATGTGGGCAGAGCTGTCAGGAGAAAGAGGAGGCTCCTCCAGTGGGGGTGAGCCGTGCCCTGGGGCTGCAGGCAGCCCTTGCACAGCCCCCGGTGGGAGGGGGTTCCAGGCGGCGGGAAGGGCCGGACGGATGGACCAGAAGCCACAGCACACCCTGGCTGCCTGGGGATGCAAACTCAGCAGGGCTGGCTGGGGCGCTGCAAGCGTGCGGGCCTGCTTCCCTGCTCTGTACGTCATCACTCCTTTCAGACACCCCATTGTGTACCAAGAGGTTGTGCCGCTTGTAAAACCCAGAGAAAAGCAGGACAACGACCAAAGCCAGAGGGCCACTTGCCAGGCCTGCAGGTCGCCCAGCCCTCCCCCAGCCCAGCCGCCGCCCCAGGCCCAGAGCCGGAAAGGCCAGTGGAATCTGCCGAATGGCCCCGCGTGCCCTCAGAACAGGGCCCTGGCACTGCCTGTCCCTTTTGCCAAAATGTTTGTCTCCAGACACCCACGTGCACAGTGCTATGTCAGGCCTCTGCTCAAACATCATCTCAGAGAGGCTCCCGGGAACCTGCTTTAAAAGGCACTTCGCCCCACCTGCCATCAGATCCATCTGGCTCCATTTCTTGGCACATGGCATGACCTGACATTTTCAAAGAAATCTATATGTTCCTGCTTTACTGCCCCTCCTCACTGGAGACAGGACAAGGTTGAGGACAAAACCTGATAGAGAAGTGCCTCGTCTGTGGTCGGCAATCACTGGAGGATGGATGGATGGATGGATGGGTGGATGAATGGGGGTGGACAGGTAGATGGATGGGTGGATCGGGGTGGATGGGGGTGGATGGGGTAGATGGATGGGTGGATGGATGGATGGATGGGTGGATGGGTGGATGGATGGGGGTGGATAGATAGGTAGATGGATGGAAGTGGATGGATGGGGGTGGATGGACGAGTGGATGGATGGGGGTGGGTGGATGGGTGGATGGATGGGGTAGATGGATGGATGGGGATAGATGGATGGGTAGATGATCCCATCCCAATAGCTTCCATAGTTCCTGACACAACAGCTCCCACAAACTGGCCCCATCCTGCCTGTCCTCCAGCCACCTGCTCTTCCTGGCCACATCTCACATTCCACCTGTACTGTCCAAATTCCATGTTTTTGCTCAAGCTGTGCTTCTGCTTCAGTCCCCTTCTCTGCCAGGCAAACTTGTCCTCCTTGAGTGTCAGCCACCGTGGGAGCCTTCCTGACCTCCCAGGACGCACACTCATCACTGCCCTGCCCAGAGCACAAGGGATTGCTGCACGTGCCCCCAGGCTCGGGGGGCCAGGCTGTGCACACTCACACTCCCGGCCGGCCTGGGGAAGGGGTGCAGGGAGGCCTAAGGGATACTGATCCAGCGCTGAGAGGGACGGGTGGTGACAATGATGCCCAACCTCCCGACCACACCTTCCCCAGTGGGGAAGGTCTAGCTCCCACCAGGCTCACCTGACCCACCAGGATCCAGCGCCAAGCTCTCTCCCGCCCCATGTCCCAAAATTCTGACCCTCCTCCTCTGGAGGCTGCTCCCACTTTGGGGCCTTTGCACAACTCTTTCCTGGGAGGGGTGGGAGGCGGGCTGGGTGGGCTCCAAGCTGCCCCAGAGCCAGACGTGGACAGGGAGGGATCACGTGAGACATGGGTAGATGGGAGGACACGGCCCCAAACCTGAGACCACACCCCTCCCCATGGGCCAGCCTCCCCCGAGCCCACCCTGGAAGCCCCGAGGCCACAAAGTCCACGTGAACTTACACATCTGACTCGTCCCACAGGATACAGGTCTGGTTGGTGGTGCCCTGGGAGAGAGCGGTGAGAGTCAGGGTCACATGCCCACCCTACGGGCCTGCCCCAGGGTCACTGCCGGGGGCCACCCACAGGCCTGCCAGGCGGGCCTTCTGACTCTGCCGTCGCCCCCAGAGATGGAGCTTGAGGAGGAGGAAACTGAGGCCCAGAGCGGGGAAGGCACTGGCCCAGCCCTCAAGCCACTCTCGTCCCCTCCTCAAGTGGGGCTGGGCAGCGAGGCCGAAGCCCATCTTGGGTGTCCAGGCAGCCCGTCCAGCGTAATACAAAATGCCATGCCAGGGAGACCCCTCCCGCGGGGCCCTGCGGGGTGGGCACAGGCGGGGCCTCAGCAGACTCTGTCCTGCAGGCCGACGGAGGGCGAGCTGCAGGATCCGGGGCACTCGTGAGTAGTGGTGTGCTCTGAGCACTGGTGGGAATGTTAGTTCTCCACCAAGGCTACAGCTCCCATCTGATAAGGGAGAGAGCCCAGGCACAGAGAGGCCTAGCAACTCGCCCAAGGCCACACAGCAGGAAAGAATAGGGCCAGTTCCTGCCACGACCCTGGCCTGGGGTTCAAGGCCTGGCACTGCTCTGTCCTGGCTGGGTAATGGATTGGCTCACACCCTTGGCTTCCTGGCTCTCAATGGGTCCAAAGGGCATGTGGGCCCTGGCTCCGCTGAGGCCTGATGGGGAGCCCCAAGGAGCAGGGCACGGCGGGGCTATGAGGCCCGGGGCAGACTCCTTTCTCAGAAGGGGTTGGCTCTTCCCCGAGGAGATCAGGCCGACCAGGGCCAGGCACGGCCGCTAGAGCTCGAGCAGTGGCTACAGAAGTGGGTTGAATTTTGCCTCCCACGTCCCCCGCTGTGTGAGCCTGGGCAGATCACCACACCTCTCTGAGCCTGTTTCCCCTCTATCGGTCAGGGATGTGAGCAGCAGGCTAAAGTGAGACCCAAGAAGGCCGCAGGATCCATGTGGGATCAGGTGGGAGGAATCGAGCACACATGCACAGCGCTGCGCACACGGGGGGCACTCACGTTGTACACGTGGGCAAACTCAATCTCCAAGGGCGTGAGCAGGGAGCGGGGCGGGGGCTTCACAGTCACGGAGATGACCTTGGAGTTCAGCACAGTCGTGTTCCTGGGGCAGAGCCAGCAGGCCGTGTCAGGGGCCACAGGGGTGACGCTTCCCCGCCCAGCCCCTCCCCTGAATGCCTCCCACCGGCCCGCCGGGCCTCCCACCTCTGCAGGGCCAGGAAGCTGCCCAGGTTTCTGTAGAGCACGGTGCCCACCACGAACACAGACGAGTCATCAGCCTCTGGAAGAGGGTGCGGCGGTCACCTCCTCCCTCCCGCCGCAGCCTGGGCCTCGCTCCGGTGCGGGAAGTGCACGTCCCCGGGAGGAGGCCCGGGCTCCGTGGTCGTGTCCACCCCCATCACACACACAGCACTGTAGTCGGAGAGCTGGGGTGGCGGCCTAGGTCCCCCTAAGTGACCCCTGAGAGCAAGGGGGCAGGCAGGGCGTGCTTCTCTTCCCGGGAACGAGAGTTAGCTCCCGTGCGCTCCCAGGACGACCCCTTCCCTCCCTGCAGTGATTAGGTCCACTGGGGCCTAGGAGCCTCCAAAAGCAGGAGGACAGGAATGGCTTCCTGGAGGAGGGGGCGACCTCAGGAACACGGAGAAGAAATGAAGGCTGTCCTGGCCCTTGAAGCAGCAGGACAGATTCCAGAAGGAAGCTCCCTGGGGGGTGGGCCCTCGGACCCCAGGGCCTGAGTCTCCCGAGAGGGCCCCTCCCGCAGCTTGGGGCCCCTCACCTGCCAGCCCCGTGGAGAAGACGCTCTTGGACACCGTGACCCTGTCCTCTGGCACCTTGGCCCAGTCGCCCGTGGCCCGCCAGCCCTTCATGGGGAAGCTGATATCCGTGGCTCCACTGGCCGGGAGCTTATGGATGCTAAGGACTGGGGCAGGGGGACCCGCCCAGAGACCACAGGGACAGAGACAGACGACACACAGAGAGCAGTTGTGCAACCAGGAGCCTTGGCCCTGGGGAGTTCGTGGCTCAGAAGGGACCCCAGCTTCCAAGCCCTCAAAGGACCCCCACCCCCGCCCCAGCAGGAGCTCCCTGCCACAGTGAGGATCCAGGCTTTGACTCAGCCCCCGTGTCCCCACGGGTCAAAGGCAGCTTCTGCAGTCAGGTCTGTGGCCATGAAGGGGTCCCCAGGGAGCAGTGTCCCCTTGGTGGCCCCGCCTTCCTCCCTGGGATGCTGGAGCCCAGCCCCCTCCCTGCCTGCTCTACAAAAGGGAACAGATCCCACCGCCCAGGTCATCCCTGGGGGCAAAGTGGCACACACGGGCTTGGGAGCACAGGACTGGGGTGGGGGGGGTCCCAGTGTCTCCAAGTCCGCCCCCCCAAGCCCGCCAATGTCAGGCAGACACCACGCTCCCTTCTCCCAGCAGCCCGCGGCCTGCCCTCGTTAGGTGTGGGGAAAAGGGGGCGGGGCTTGGGAACCCACAGCCTGCATCTGCGGCGCCTAGCTACCACCTGGCCTTCACCCACCTCTGGGGCCTCGGCCCCAACAAAACCCCACCCCATGCAGCCAGGTCACACCTCCGTCCGTGCCTTTGCTTTCATGGGGCCCCCTGCCCGTACTCCCTCGGCCCCTCCATGCCTGGCTGTACCATCCATGCACTTGTTGTACGGGACGAGGGCACCTTCCCTAGAGGAGGACCTAGGGGCAGAGATGGGGCCCATCTCTCTGAGCGTCCAGTATGTGGGCTATGGGGTATGTGGGCTATTGGTGTGTCGACCTATGGGGTGTGTAGGTATATGAAGTGTGTGTGCGGTATGTAAGTACATGTGGGGTGTGTGGGGTGTGGGGCGTGGGGTGTGGGTGTGGGGTGTGGTATGTGGTGTGTGGAGTGTGTGGTATGGGGTGCACATGATGTGGTCAATGGTGTGTGGGTGTGGGGTGTGAGGTATGTGGGGTGTGTGGGGTGATGACCACCACTGAATCCATCAGCTGCAGGTGTTTGGCAGGACAGGTGGGGTGATCTGGGGCTCTCCGCATCCCCAGGAGGCTGTCCCATCTTAGAGACTGGGTCGGTGCACCTGCGCTGGGTGGAGCTGGAGACCCTCTTACAGGACACTTGGGGGTGGAAGGCACGAAGGACTGGCTGCACGGTCCTGCCTTGGACCCTCCATGCAGTCCCAGTGCAGGCAGGCCACTGGGGGTGCAAGCAGGGGCTGGCTCTGGCCCTGGACTCGGTGCTGCAGGCCCTTGTTTGGGTTGAGACACCCTAGGGTTCCCCTCTGGGGTCCCATCAGGCCGAGGTCCACACGGGGCTGGGGGCTGAGTCTGTGCGAAGGCACAGGGAGGGCCCGCGGAGGGCGTCTGGCCGACGCCTGTTCCCATGGACAAGGAAACCGGGGCGGGAGGGCGGCCCAGCACTGCAGAGAGGGCCGGGGGTCAGCGGAGTGGGCAGGCGCTCACCCAGGTTGTCTGTGACCTGGTATGCGTCCCGAAGGTCCTTCATGCGGAAGCCGATGACGCCTACAAAGTCCTCCACCAGCCGGAAGAGCTCCTTGGCGTTGGGGCCCATCTGGGGACAGGGCGGGGGTGGGGGGCAGGGAGCCTCAGAGCCGGTGGGGACCACAGAGGGAAATGAGGGTGTCATCGAAGCCCCCCACCCAGCCTGGGACACATCTTCCCGTTCCTCTGCTCCTGCACCTGTCGCCCCCTATCCAGGGTCCTGTCACCAAAAAGCTCCGGGTCCAACTTGGGAAGCAGGGTCAGGAATGGTGGCAGGTTCCAGGTCAGTCCAGGAGGAAGGGAGGCTGACCATGTCCTAGTGACCCCGACATGTACCGTGTGGCCAACACCTTTTCCCACACCCACCACTGAGTCCACAAGGTGAGCTACCATTCTCTGGTGGATGGGGAGATGGAAGCTCAAAGTCACACCAGCTCAGAGGTCCTGCTGGGATTCGAACCCAGGGCCCCACTTGGACTAGCCTGGGCCCCAGGGAGGAAGCAGACATGCCTGTGCCCACCCTGCTGCTCTGACCAGGGGGCCCCAGACTGCTGTCCGTACCAGCTGAGCCTCCTCCCACTTGTCCCGGTTCTCTTCTGCCAGCAGGTTGCTGATGATCTGCACAAAGTTCTGGAAAAAAAGAGGAAAAAGGGCCAGTGAGCAGAGAAGAAGACACCAGAATTATGGCTCAGTGTGCTCCCAGGGTCAGGGCTCAGTAACGGGGCGAGGGGGGGTGTGTCTCAGGGCTCAGCAGGTGGCCAGGTCAGGGCTCAGTAACTGGGGTCAGGGCTCAGCAGGTGGCCAGGTCAGGGCTCAGTAACTGGGATTAGGGCTCAGCAGGTGGCCAGGTCAGGGCTCAGTAACAGGGGTCAGGGCTCAGCAGGTGGCCAGGTCAGGGCTCAGTAATC